AGCCCCAAGGAGCTGGGAGATCCAGCACATGATCTGCCATGTCAAAGCTGCATAACCTCCCATAGTCACAGTTTCCCTTTGGGCTGCATCTCCTTCTCCACAAAAAGTACAGTTTAGTGCTAATACTCTAATAACTGACAAGAGAAATACTCCTTACACTTAAACAAGTTTTGCTGGCACTAGAGTAACTGCTTCTTTAGCCAATCTTGAAAAGAATGAGATAAAATTTGAGATAAAGCTAAAATTGATACAAATATCTGTAAGTATCCAGATGTTAGAACAGTGACTGGTCCTGATAACTTTTTTTTTTTTGAGACAGGGTCTGGCTCTGTCACCAGGCTGGAGTGCAGTGGCGCAATCTTGGTTCACTGCAACCTCTGCCTCCTGGGTTCAAGCAATTCTCCTGCCTCAGCCTCCCAAGTAGCTGGGATTACAAGTGTGCACCACCAAGCCCAGCTAATTTTTGTATTTTTAGTAGAGACAGAGTTTCACTATGTTGACCAGGATGGTCTCGATCTCTTGACCTGGTGATCCGCCTGACTTGGCCTCCCAAAGTGCTGGGATTACAGACGTGAGCCACCGCGCCCTGCCAGTCCTGATAACATTTTACTGTAATCAACATTTTTTTTTAAACCCTCACCCTTAAAACCCAAGAGAAGTTCTCTTTTTAATACCCTTACCCTTAAAACCCAAGAGAAGTTCTAAAACTTAATATGTTCATTATAGAGAAACTACAAGATTCAGAAAGACTAAAAAACAAAATTTTACAATCTTATCTCCCAGAAATAAACATGGTAGCACTTTCATGAGTCTCTTTCAAACATTTTTATGCATACACAGAATTTTATATACTTGAAGTCATTCAGAACATACAATTTCGTATCCTGATTTCTAACTGACCACTGTACCATCTTTGAAAACCTTCTTTGGGATAGCTTCTACCACATGAATAGCCTATAATGTAACATCGTAGATTTTACACTGATTACTCAGAATATACAGTTAACCCTTGAACAATTTGTGAGTTAAGGACACTGACCCATGCTCAGTAAAAAATCTGCATGTAACTTTTGACTCCTCAAAAACTTTACTCATAACCTATTGTTGACTGGAAACCTTATTGATAACATAGTCAATTAACATATTTTATGTATGTATTATATACTGTACGCATACAATTAAGTAAGCTAGAGAAAAAAACATGTTATTAAAAAAATCAGGCCAGGCATGGTGGCTCATGCCTGTAATCCCTACACTTTGGGAGGCTGAGGCAGGCAGATCACTTGAGGTCAGGAGTTCGAGACCAGCCTGGCCAACACAGCAAAATCCCGTCTCTACTAAAAATACAAAAATTAGCCAGGCATGGCTGCATGCGCCTGTAATCCCAGCTACTCAGGAGGCTGAGGCAAGAGAATCACTTGAACTCAGGAGGCAGAGGTTGCAGTGAGCCAAGACCGCGCCACTGCACTCCGGCCTGGGTGACAGAGTGAGACTCTGTCGCAAAGGAAAAAAAAAAAGAAAAGAGGTCGGGTGCAGTGGCTCACGTCTGTAATCCCAGCATTTTGGGAGGTAGAGGCAGGCAGTTCACCCGAGGTCAGGAGTTCAAGACCAGCCTGGCCAACACAGTGAAACCCCATCTCTACTAAAAATACAAAAATTAGCCAGGCAGGATAGAGCAAAACTCCGCCTCCAAAAAAAAGAAAAAAGAAAATCATAAGAGAAAATGTATTTACTATCTATTAAGTGGAAGTGGATCATCATAAATATTCTTATCTTCCTCATCTTCACATTGAGTAGGCTAAGGAAGAGGAAGAGGAAAGGTTGGTCTTGCTGTCTCGGAGTAACAAGAGGTGGAAGAAACTCTGCATATAAGTGAACCCACACAGTTCAAACATGTGTTGTTCAAGGGCATCTGTACTAAAATGTTGCAAAATACAATTAAACAGCAATGTCATCATTAATGTCTATTTCCACTATACTAACATAGGCATAGCAATAAATATCAATTTAACAATAGTAAAATACTAAATGAAAGCAACAATGAAATACACAACTAAAATCTTACAGATTATCAGCTGGGTAAGGAAAACAGCAGCCTGCAAGATCTGGAATTTTTTTTTTTTTTTTATCAACAGAATCTCAAGAAAGATGAGTTTAAGAGTGACTTGGGAGTAGTCCCATTGAGCTTAATGTATACAGATCTCTGGCAATACTGAGTAAACAAGAGTAGGAGGAATCCTCAATCTGTAAACATCTTGGGAGCTGGCAAAGTGATTAAGCAAAGCACACAAATTTTAATGTTAAAAGCCATGAGACAGTGATTCATAACGGAGTAAGAAAGAAAACAGCTCTGTTTTTACAAAGGAATAAGTAGAAGAAAAAAAAAAAAGCAGAGAAAGGTAAAGGGATAGGTTAAGTAACTTAAATATTATAATAGGTTCAAAATAATTGTCCCATATACATTTAGGAATGTACAGACTTATCTTCCAGGAAAACTGACTGACAGAAATTTCTAATATGAGTATTTTGAGGTCTTTGATAGTCATATCCTAAAGATCATTATTAAGAGTCTAATGAGGGAAACTGGAAAGTAACTGGGCAGAAAATTCCCACTCACACAAAGAAAGTCTTGTTCAGAACAACCCTTATAAATACCTAAATAAAACAGAAGAAAGACAATAACGACTTAAGATTGAGATATATGTAAATATAAAGGTAATTCAAAAATTTACCTAGAAAAATTATCAGAAAAATAATTGGTATATCCAACTATTGGCCCAATTGCTAGAAATCAGGATTTTCTGTATATGGCGCTAATTCCCACAAATCCTTTCAACTAATATTGCACATGTGTACTGCACTATGAACTTGTGGGTTAGGAAGCACAATGTATAATACCCAAAGAGATATGTATCAGAGTTATATCTCTCAGTAGACTTCTATTGAGATTCCCCAATTAGGCTGGGCGCAGTAGCTCATGCCCATAATCCCAGCACCTTGAAAGGCCGAGGTGGGTGGATCACTTGAGGTCAGGACCAACATGGTGAAATCCCACCTCTACCAAAAATACAAAAATTAGCCAGGTGTGGTGGCGCACCTGTAGTCCCAACTACTAGGGAGGCTGAAGCAGGAGAGTACCTGAGCCTAGGAGATGGAGGTTGCAGTGAGCTGAGATTGCGCCACTTCACATCATCTTGGGTGACACAGCAAGACTCTGTCTCAAAAAAGACTCCCCAATTAGACAATGACAAATTAGGAACAAACTATTCTATGGAGGGGGGTGGAAATCAAGGACATTCGCCTCTACAAGCCTCTGGACTCTAAGGCATGTGACCACATGGATCCAGACATGCCAACAGACATGACAATAAACATGACTTTCAAAGACCTTATAAAGTAATGAAATTGCTTTAGTATCTGTGTTCCCTAAGCACAGTTTTTTGTTTGTGTTTAATTTCTACGCAACTCTTGCTTGGTAATTTTACAAAAAGCCTTCAATTCTTACAACTTTTGTGCCTGCAGGACTTGGTGCCAACACTTCTCAAAAGATAACACTGAAACTCTTCTTGGTTTATGGAAGAACATTAAAATAAGATGTTCGTAAAGCCGAGCTAATTTTTTAAGCTAATAGTAATACTAGGTGTTAAGAGATAAAGGTGATTTTTTTAAAAGGTAGAGAAAATGCAAAGGTAAGTGTACTATGAAGATAAAACATTGATTAGATTACTGGTTTGGGGGGGGTTTATAAACAATTTTATTTTCTGATACAAGACAGAAAACAATGACTTTTTGCCTTCCTTTAGTAGTCTACCTTGACAGAAAAAAACATAAATAAAATTCAGTTCTTAACTAAGTCAAATGTTAGTTCTATATATAAAATTATTTTAGCTACACAAGATCCATACTGGCTTCACAATCCATTATTGGGCGGACAAAACCTCACTGAAAGAGAAAAAGATGACCCTATAAAATTAATTATATTATCCGAAGTGTTTAGCAGACAAAAAAAAAATTAAATTAATTCTAAATTGTACTTACCAGAGAACTGAATAATTTTTAAAAACTTTTAAAAACAAGATTTTTAAAAATGCAAGTAGAAGAAAAAGGCAAAACAAAAAAGATTATTTGTGTCAATAATTTCCCTCAAAAATACTGCTTAAAACAAGCTGCATTGATTCTTATCTTTTTTTTCTTTCTCAGACATTTCATGAAGAAGCACAGAAATGACCAATGTGTTACACTCAGGACAGATGGGAAAAGGGGTATCAAAAGGTATGAAATGTTAAAATTAAGAACATAAGTTCATCAATAAAGTTGACTCTTTTAACAGAGAGTCATCATGGATGTCCTAATTTTATAGACTACGGAGAGGTGTGCTATAAAAAGTAAGATTAAAATACATGATTTTGGCCAGGCGTGATGGCTCACAGCAAGGCAGATGTATCACTTGAGTCCAGGAGTTCAAGACCAGCCTGGGCAACCTGATGAAACCCCATGTCTACAAAAAGTACAAAAATTAGCCTGCCATGGTGGTGTGAGCCTATAGACCCAGCCACTCGGGAGGCTAAAGTAGGAGGACTGCTTGAGCCTGAGAGGTCAAGGCTGCAGTGAGCCATGATGGCACCACTGCACTCCAGCATGGGCCACAGCACTGTCTCAAATAAATAAATAATTAAATATATATATACATGATTTTATTCACATACTGAAGACCATTGAATTATTAGTTTTTAAAAAGTTTACCTACTCTTGGCTGGGTGCGGTGGCTCACACCTGTAATCCCAGCACTTTGGGAGGCTGAGGCAGGCAGATCACGAGGTCAGGAGTTTGAGACTACCCTGGTCAATATGGTGAAACCCCATCTCTACTAAAAAAAGGAAAAATTAGCCGGGCGTGGTGGCGCACACCAGTAGTCTCAACTACTTGGGAGGCTGAGGCAGGAGAAATGCTGGAACCCAGGAGGCAGAGGTTGCAGTGAGCCCAGATCACGCCACTGCACTCCAGCCTGGGCGACAGAATGAGACTCTGTCTCGAACAAAACAAAACAAAACAAAACAAAACAAAAAAGTTTTACCTACTCTTGCAATACTCATTCAATAAGACAGATGTGAAAATTTTATCTGAATTCTTGTAGATGGGCTAAAATCTACATAAATATTCCTTACCACATGTAGATTCTTTTGAAATGAAAATATTTAACAGACCTGAAACTTTGCAATGCCTCAAAAGCACTCAACTTTTCAAAAACAAACAGAAATATTAGCCACAGGTCATAAGGCATTACAAATATGCAACACAAAAAAGCTGCACATTTCATTCCACTAGATATGTCCTGAGATATAAATCTACATAAAATGTTTTATAGTCATTTAAAAACTACATCAGAAAAAAATTATATCAGAAAACATTAAGCACTCACCACTCATTTTCCCTATTCTTCTGTCCAGTTAGCCATATTAATCCAAAATAACAATCCAGTAACTAAAAACAAATACTTCAACTAAACACTAAAGACTGAAAAAAAAAAAAATCACATGGCAGTAGAGAGGTCAGACCTTCTGGGATATAACCACCTTTTTTTCTGAGATGTTTCATCACTCAAAACTATAAACTATGAATAAAGACAGTTTCTTCTGTCAACCCCTTAACTCCCAAATTCACTATTTTAGGACCCACAGTTAGTGACTCTGCTAAGAACATACCATGCTCTTTGCTACATTATTACCTCTGCACATGAAATGTCCTAATTCTGAAGAAGCTGCATTCAGTCAACTACACATCTCTCAGTCACCATCTCTCCCCTCCCTACTTCGGAACTTTCCAGGGCCTGCCCAACTATCCACTTCCTCTACCCAGCCATAGTTCATTGTTCTGGCTTGGTGTTTCCACACGATGCAAGACACCAAACTGAATTTTAAATGATTTTTAAAACTGCTCTCTTATTCTGCTTCCCTGATCATGTTCTTACTCTGCTTAAAACCCTTTAGTAATCTTCACACAGAAGAGAAGTGCTTTTCAAATTACCAGTTGCTACCACAGCGTCATTAAATAAATTGAGTGGGTCACCATCATCAGTCTATCTTAAAAATAAAATAGAATGGAACACAATAGAAACTACCAGAGTGCACCACACAAAGCAAGGGTATTATGTAGTGACATTTTATCATTTATATACAAGCATATTGGGTTGCAATGTAAAGATGCTTATCTTTCCAAAGGGTCACAGCCAAAAAAACCTCTAAACACACTAGACTACAGGATAATCCAATCTTTCATTTGATCTACATGGCTCTCCAACCCAGCCCCTGCGTAATAAGGCTCTAGACCTATCTCTTGCTACACCAAAGGGAGCTGGCTCAAGCAAACAAGCTTGTCATGCCAAACTCATTTGCAGTTCCTCGTTTTAGTGGTGTCAATCACTGTTCCCTCTGCCTTGAATGCCCTCTAATTTTTCTAAGAGGCTCACTTGTACTCATCTTTCAGTATTTAACACCTATCACCTCCTCTACAAAGCCTTTTTATCCTTCCCTCAGCAGCTAATGCCCCAATACCCACTTTGTGTCTCCACAATGCCCTATATTATAGCTCCTACAAAATTTCATTGCACATTTTAATTTTAGGCTTGACTGTCTTCCCAACTTCTAAAGTATAAACTCACTAAGGGAAGGAGTACATTGTACTAGCCTTCCTATCGGCAGCACTGAGCTAAGTACGTGCACTATAACATAGGTTCGAAGTTGGTAAAAAGAACAAATGAAGAATTAAGGACTTGCATCTAACTTGTCTGTTGTCAGAAATGATAGGGTGGTTATCTTTGCAATAAAACCCCTTCATAGTGCTGGAATCAAGATTTTCACATTTTTGCTACAACCCCTAGAGAGCAGAACGCTGCAGTTTGAGGCAGAAGGAGGTGTCAGCTTCCTGTCTTTCAGCAAAGAGACTCAGTTTGGGCTGCAATGTAGCAGCACTCATTTCCACTCTTCCAGAAGTTACCTGGGGAAAGAGGCCGAGGAAGGACTCCAGAAGTTCCCACAGGCAGGTGAGGTAAATCAGAAACAGCATTAACAGATTTCATTAGCAGGGAGAGCCCTATTTTATTTATAAGCAGCTCTTAATAAGAGAAGGGAGGGAAAGAATTCTTTACCATTGCTGATGGCACAAGGTTACCAATATGAGCTAAGTAAAAACAAAGGGTGTCGTGAAATAACTGGTTGAGGTTACTTGATTTCTGTTGCCTACTCTAATAGTTCTGAAATAGCTACTGATTCACTGCTGTCATTATGAGATACTATTTGGAGGTGGGGGGTGGGGGTCATACCTAACAGGGGCTTCTCACAGAGGTTTCAAAACTTTTCAGAGACTTCATTTTATATATGTGAATGCCTTAAGTTTTAGGGGATCTGATACACCTATTTTACAAACCCATACTTTAGTTGCCTTCACTGCAATTAACAGTTCATGCAGCATCCAAGATACTTTGACAGACTTTGCCAACTGTCAAGTTTCAGCTGTTCTTTTCCATTTCCACAAAGTTCATAAACTACTATTAGGGGAGTCATAATTTTTTTCTGCCCAATCACTGATTTTATTAAAAATAATTCCTTCGCTTAGACTGCCCCTAGACTTGCAATAATTATCTACAATTAAGACAAAGATAAATCCTTATCATAACCTAACATTAGTTTAAAAAAAAAAAGTTGTAATATATGAAACACTTTACCCAGAGTATTAAATGTTAGATATCTATTACAGCAAGGTAATTAATGATTGCTAAGGTAAAGCTTTAAAGGCCATTTAAAGCCCTGTTTCCTTTTGTTTAAAATAGGCCCAGGCAGCTATGCGAATTCCACAAACATTTATTAGGCATAAATACGCATAAAGTGTAGAAACATCAGCAAATGCCTTTGCTTTGCTGCACGCTCTTCTACTTCCACCTACCCTTCCTCTCTCAACTCAGATAAAACAAGGCACTATCAATGAGAAAGGGTAATAGCCCCAAACACAGGCTTTCCAAAAAACAGCACCACAAAACGCTCGCTCCTTTTTCTCCTCAGTGCATATATAGGACTTTATTAACTAAAGGACAGATAAATTCATTTATAAACAAATTAATTATGCTAAGTGTCTAAATACATGTTATGTGTGGGGCTTACTTTCCCATTTTAAACAGTAGCCCCTTCAGTATTAAATTCATCCTGTCTCTTCCGGTTCTAGGCACTTCAGGAGCCGTGGCTTAAGGTGCAAACATGACCAAGACCAACAACCACACCACACACAACCAGTCCCGAAAATGGCACAGAAATGGTATCAAGAAATCCCAATCACAAAGATACGAATCTCTTAAGGGGGTGGACCCCAAGTTCCTGAGGAACATGCGCTTTGCCAAGAAACACAACAAGAAGGGCCTAAAAAAGATGCAGGCTAACAGTGCCAAGGCCATGAGTACATGTGCCAAGGTTATCAAGGCCCTCATAAAGCCCAAGGAGGTTAAGCCCAAGATCCCAAAGGGTGTCATCTGCAAGCTCAATCAACTTGACTACATTGCCCACCCCAAGCCTGGGAAGCATGGTCATGCCCGCACTGCCAAGGGGCTCAGGCTGTCCTGGCCAAAGGACAAGGACAAGGATAAAACCAAGGCCCAGGCTGCAGCTCCAGCTTCAGTTCCAGCTAAGGCTCCCAAAGGTGCCCAGGCCCCTACAAAGGCTTCAGATTAGATATCTGTCTGCCAACGTGAGGACAGGACTGGTGCAACCCCCAACCAGGCTGCCACCTGCATGGGGCTGGGGTCCTCCTGTGCTATTTGTACAAATGAACCTGAAGCAGGAAAAAAAAAATTCAGCCTAAGCTTCCCTTGGTAAAATGACAGGCATTCATGCAGCTTAAAGGTTGTGGAAAACTGATTTTCTTCCATGATGCTACTACTCCACAGTCTAGACAAAATGCAGCCATCAACATGAAAAACTGCTGCTTGATTTTTTTTTTCCTCCAACATGTTTTAAACAGAGCTGCAGATGCTCAAGGGAAGCCATATTTCTAAGGTTTTGAACAGTAGTATTTTTCAGTATTTTTCTCATGTAAAATTGGTGCAATTCATCCAGAACATTTTTCAAATGCCATTATTTTTCAGCGTTAAGTGCTTAAACTGCTTAGAGAGAAAAAGGTCTCATCAGAAAGATCGACTTCCAGAAACCAACTAGTGATCATTAAAATGAGGAGAATAAAAAGAAAATAATTCATTTTTTACAGTTTGAAGAAATCTTTAAGTCATCTCTAATTCCTTCATTTTACAGATAAGAAATAAGAGTCCACAGAGGTTAAGCAATTTGCCTCAGATCGCTAAGCTACTAATAGCAGCGCTAGAAATAGAATGAGGCATTTTAATTACTCTTAGCAGTACCCCCAAATCATGCAAGTTATATATACTCTCATCACTTGTCATTCAAGTTTTTAAAACCATTATCACTTTGTCATTAATTTCTGAGGAAAGTCTCCTACAACATGTTCTAAATTTTCAAAGTTATGCATATTAAACTTCAAATTCTAACTCCAAAAAGAAGGTACTATTCAGGAACTTTCCTCAGAAAGTTTCAAGCGTGTGTACACCCCTAAACCATCACAATGAATTTCAGAGTCCATTCTTTCAAAACCTGTCCCTCAACTACACTTTAGATGTGTTTGTTCAACGACACACACACACACAAAGAGAAAATTCTGGAAGTTCTTCCGCCAAAAACCAATGACAATCTGTCAATGAAATCAGATTACTCCATTATTATGGGTTTCCAGCATAAATTAGTAAGTGTCACTAGCATTTCATCAACCCACAGTGTGAAGAGTTAATAAAAGACTGGAAAATGCACTCTCGGTTGGTTCTGGGTCCGAAGGAAGGTGTAGATCTGATATTGTTAACACAAACTGAAGGGCTGAGCTTAAAAGCGAAAAACAAAAGGAGTGAACAAGTTCCTTAAACAAAAAGCCTTTTCGTACGGAATGCACCCGCACCGTGGTGACCGCATCAGTAAGACTGAATTTCAGATTTTCGTTTTAACGTCCCAGTAAATCAATTCTATACATTTTAGCTTTGGATATTCAAGGGCAAAAGAGAGGGCACCGTGAGGGCAACAATTTACTCTGGATCACTTTCAAGGACTGTTGTCTAACCACTCATTACAATCGTTCCTTTGTGCAACTGATTATCTAAAAGTACTGAGACAGTGTAGTACTTCTCTTTGAAAGATAACCATCAGCAAAAGCTAAGAATGTGATTTTGATGACAAACTGATGCAGCAGTCTGACCAGTAAAGTGTAGAATGCGTTGTCTTTGTAAATATTACTCACAAATCCATATTCAAGTTACAAACGATGTATGCGTTTAATTACGACCTCTGGTACCGCTCTACAAAAATGCAAAAATAACCTAAAAGGTTAGCATGCCTATTTCTTTAAAGTATGACTAGCTTAGCAAGCTGGCAAGTTTGTTTGAAAACACAAAACGCAATCACCACCACCGCTCAATAATACACATACATAAACAGATTCGAAGCTGTGTTAAGCACAAAAATCCTTACCCCATTTTGCCCAATGAAAACTTGCTCTGAAGTTTCAGCTCTTATGCTACGGAATAACTTCCAAAGGAATTTCTCCGTCTGCTATTTCGCAGTTGCTTTTCCACCCCCACCCCCAGATCCTTGTCCGGAGGTATTTCAAGGATGCTGCCAATTCAATTAGTTCTCTTAGGTAAAATGATTTCTTTCTTGTAAATACCAAAACGTTCAAACAGAGGCGGCATTTGCTTATTCGAGTTAAAACGCTTTGCGGAGGAGACAGCGATCAATTCTATTCCACAAAACGAGTCTACAAGTAGGAAAATGCAGAATCCGGCTTCACCGAGTCCTATAAAAAATGAGTTCGCTGGTCATTTCACTCATGTCCTCCTCGACACTCAGGGAGAGCCAGGTAACTCGGCCTTTTCAGAGCTAAGGCTGCGGGTTCAAATTTCTCCACCACACCAGGTCCCCGGGGGTGGAGCGAGCAACCAAACGCGACGTGCACGTGAATAAAAATCCCAAAAGCAGTAATGCCACGGCTTCCCTGCGCTCACATTAGGAAAAAAACTACATAGAAAAATCTCCTCGAAGTGCAAACCCGGCAGCTCGCAACCTGCACGGCACTCCACATTGGAATCTGTCTTTTTTAATGTTTCTTCTCCTAAGACTCGGAGCAGAGAAGAGGTGGGGAGGAGGAAGAGGAGGCTGGGCAGGATCGATTCATTCTCCCGAGGAGAATAAACGGAGCCATTTCCAGGCTGGCAGCAGGCTGGGGGCGCAGCGCACGCCGGGGAGCTGGAGGAGGGGGCCCGATCCCACCTCCCTCAGCCCCTTCCCGCCCCCCGCCGCCGAGCACAATGGAGCCCGGCTCGCGCCCGGCCCTTCATTCGCGGCTGCCCCCTCTTCCCTCCTCTCTTCAGAGCACAGCGGATCTGAGGCTCCCGTCGGCGGAGAATGAATGAATCACAGAGCCAAGCCCCACGCTTCCACTGGCGCCCTGCCCCCAGCTCCAGGGCGGGCGAAAGGGGCCGAAGGGTCGACGGGCGCCTGCCCGAGCCAAGGCGGGAGGCTAAGACCGCGTCGGGGCCAGGAGAGCTGGGCTCGAAGCCGAAGCGCAGCCGCCGCTCCAGCGCCCCCACCCCTGCTCCTCGTCTCTCACGCTCCGCGCCGCCGCCACGCGCCGCCTCACATTCCCCGGGCCCCGCCGCCGCCTCTTCACACTTCCATCAGCGCCCGCCTCCGCCGGCCTCCGGCTCCCGCCGGGCAGAGCAGCGCCAGCCCCGGCGGCCTGAAGCCCGCCGCTGCCTCCGCCTGCACCGGCCGGCTGGCAGAGCCGAGGGTGCTGCTTTCCCAGTCAGCGCCGCCGGCGTGAGGCGAGCGCGGCGGCAGTGGGCTGCGGGGGGCGGGAAGGGGGCGGAGAGAACGGGGGGGCGAGGGCGGTACCTCCCCCTGCTCGCGGGAGAGGGCGGGAGGCGGTGGCCGCCGCGGAGCCGCGGCTGGGGGCTGGTGCGCGGACGGGTCCCGGGAGCCCGACGGGCCCTGCGGGCAGTGGGCAGCGGGCAGCGGGAGCAAGCAGCAGCCGCGAGGCGGCGGAGAGGATGGTGGTGCGGGGCCGAGCGGCCCTCGTGGGGAGCTGGGCCGGCGGCAGGCCCTCAGTCCGTCCGTCCTTGTTTTCCCCCCTCCCCTAGAGGCCGGCGGCTGGCGGGCCGTGCGCTCTGCTCCTCCGCTGGCTCTTGGCCCCGCTCCCGGCCGCCACAGCCTCCTCCGCGCCCCACACCAGGTGCTCGCGCTGTGTCTCCATCCTCCCCGCAGGAGGACCTTTAAATAGCAACGTCAGCGCGCTCCTCTCCGCACACACGTCACCCGCTGCTCACGTCACCGGGGTGCGGGGGATGATGTCACGCGGCCGGAAGTACTGCTAAATTAGGGAAGGAGCAGGGGGAGGAGGACTCGGCGAGCTCCTGTGTGCCCACCTGCTCTCGCTTCTCCTTAAAGGCCAAAGCACAGGAGACAGCCCGAGAGGAGCTCGAACAAGGAAGCGGCGGGAGGAGATTTCCTTGCAACAAATGTGCCAAACCGGAGTGAATCATTCGTAGCAGAAGTGCAGAAGTGTCAAGCGGGTAATATCCTATCTCCCACTCCCACCGCTGTTGCAGCAGCACCCCCGGGCTTCTCCTGTCCTAACTAGCAGGGAAATGTGGGAGGGAGAGCCTGATCACACTACTGGTAGATGTATTTCCAACAAGGACTTCGGAAAAATTACCTCAATTTTCAGTTATTGAGTGCCATTCTGGACGTAGTGGACTTTTAAACTTTTTCTCTTATTGGTTACCTGAAACACGAAAGAATAAAGAGCAGAGCAATAAGCAAACGAAGTAATGTTATAGAGGATAGTAATTTTATTTGCAAAATAGCAGTTTTGGCATAGGAAAATGAGTCAATCTTAGTTCACTCAGATAATTATCGTCACATGCATAGCAAATGCCAGTGTGTCCTCTCAGTTTCTCTTCATCAAGAATATGAGTTTCGTGACACTTGCCTCCAGACAATAAAACAAGAAAGAGAAAAAAATATATGGGTTTCAGTCTGTGGAATTTAAATTAAAAATTAAAAATTGGAAAGACCACCAAATCCTTTTTCATTAGCACAAGCATATTTTTATCTTCTTTAGTTTTGACCACATAATATATAATTACAATATCTCTTAAGTGTGTTGTTTTGCATTTTCTGTATGGCAAGGGTGAGTAGCTTTCTATAAGTGTGCTAGCTATGTATGTGTTTGTGTCTATAAAACACCATATTAGGAATGCTTTTTACATTGTAAATTACTACAGCGTTCTTAAATTATTTTAAAATGAATAGGTAAAAACAAAATTTTACGTTAGGTAAATTCATTTAGTGAACTTTGGTTTTATTTTACTTAATCATGGCCAAGAAATAGAATTGATACGTATTGCCAAAGGTCAATACTGTTTCAAGTTAGTCTACAAATTTAGTGACCCTGTTTTCCAAACCAAAATCTAGACACACCATTTGACATTAGAAAAAAAATTTGAATCTGAAGTGACCTGGAAAATCCAGAACATAGGATTACCAGCCTATGAAGTGATTATTAGGAAAGTTATATGTCAATTTCAACGTAGTTTAAATAAAAGAAGGTAAAACTTGTTAGAATGTATACCACGTGTGACTTTTAGAAACTGTAATGTTAAACTACTCACATGGTTCCTATTTAAGGAACATTGGTTTTGCAACTTTCTGTATTTACATTTTCTTGCTCAAGTTAGGAGTCCAAGATTAAAGAACACCACCACCAACAACAAAAAAGACCGATTTGTAACTGTTTCAAATACTCTGGTCATCTTAACATTATACAATTATGATCATGATTAAAGTTTGAAATATTAAAAGTCTTTTTTTGAGACGGAGTCTCGCTCTGTTGCCCAGGCTGGAGTGCAGTGGTGCTATCTCGGCTCACTGCAACCTCTGCCTCCCAGGTTCAAGCAAGTCTCGTGCCTCGGCTTCCCAAGTAGTTGGAATTGCAGGCGCCCGCTGCCATACCTGGCTAATTTTTGTATTTTTAATAGAGATGGTTTTTCGCCATGTCGGCCAGGCTGGTCTCAAACTCCTGGCCTCAGGTCATCCGCCCACCCCAGCCTCCCAGTGTGCTGGGATTATAGGCATGACCCACAGTGCTCACCCTAGTTTTCATTGTTTTTTTTGTTTTTGTTTTGTTTTGTTTTGTTTTTTGAGGCAGAGTCTCGCTGTGCTGTCCAGGCTGGGTGCAGTGGCACGATCTTGGCTCACTGCACTCTCTGCCTCCTGAGTTCAAGCGATTCTCCTGTCTCAGCCTCCTGAGTAGCTGGGACTACAGGCACTTGCCACCACACCCGGCTAATTTTTGTATTTTTGGTAGAAACGGGGTTTCACCATTTTGGCCAGGCTGGTCTCAAACTCCTGACCTCAAGTGATCCGCCTGCCTCGGCCTCCCAAAGTGCTGGGATTACAGACGTGAGACACTGCGCCGGGTCGCCTCAGGGATTTTTTTGTTTTGTTCTGTTTTGTTTTTAAGGTTATAACAAAAGGTTAATGAAAGGCAAATCCCTGCTTGCCAATTTGTCTAATGTATATTATTATCATATTAATAGAAACTTGTACCAATTTGTATTTCAGACAAATGGAGCTTCCTATATCTAAAATATTAAAACAATAAAACTGTCATTCTTCAAATAATGTCATCCCTTGACCCTTGCAAATTAAAATACAAATTACGTTCTTACACTACTAAAATTTCTTTACAATTTCCTACCTAACTAAATAACTTATCTCTTTCCTGCTCTTTCCATGTTAATTAAACCTCTCACTTTACCATTTTCAAACACTTTATTCTACCCTTTCATCACAACTTCCTCTCATTCACAGTCTTTTTTCCCCTCATCTTTACCCAACTGTCAAAACAGCTTTTCAGTTGCCTTCCTGCCTTTAGAGTGCTGACCCTTTGTTAGTTTCTACTTTTCACAACCGCATAGTCTTTTCTCAGCTGCTCTTTTGTCAACTGAAAATTGAGAACAGCTTTTTTCTACATAAATCGAATGGTGCCCTGTGATATAATGACTCAAAGTTTATGTGATTGTTTAACTTCAGCCTCTTACTCTAGAAAATTTTACCTATGATTGATTAATTATAGGTATCAATTTCTTGCCAGCTTATATGGGATCAGGATCAGTAAGTACATATGTCCGTGTAGTCAAAAGAATATGTAAACCTTTGAAACATTTTATGTAATATGGCATGTCTTCTCAGAAAAAATAGCCTTTTCTCCCTGCTTGAAACAATTCCAATACAGTTTTAAGAGGTGTCAGAGAGGCATTCTGTGGCTTTCCATCTATAAGTAAATATCTTTTCTCCTAAGATGAGCTGATGTAACCCACATTTTAGTTGTGAATTCCCAACCCTGATTTTTTTGTATGTTTTTTAAAATAGTAAACTTCCTAGAAAGTAATATATTTTCTTTTACCGGAAGAGGAAGAAAGTACTTTAGTAGAGTTTCAAATTTTAACAGTTCCTGTTTCCCACTATGCTCTGAAAATTTGTAGGGCGGTTTATGAATACCCTCTGATTTTAGAATCTGTGGGCGAAGGCATCTGTTTTAGTTACAGAGTTTATTTCCATGCCCTTAATAGGAGATGGCAGTCTTCAATGGGGTGTTCATACATTGGTCATGAGATATGTCTTTTTCAATGAAAAGACATCTATGAGATAGAAAACCTTTGCAGGAAAGAGAGTAAAAGCCAGATTTTATTTTTAATTGGCTTACATTAGGTAATAACAACTTCCTTTTAAATGCCCTCTTTTTGATTACCAAAATACCACTGTTAATTCAAATAAAGTCAGATTGAAAAATAGGTTAAAAGATATCTCTCTATATAAAAGAAATATCATAATTCCTAGTAGGTAGTACATAGTCATGAAGAAACTAACCAGCAAAGAGTCAACGTAATGATAAGAATGAAAGAGTTGCAGGGAAACAGAATTTATCCAGTGACTCTCCAAAATCATCCCACTTCCTCCATTTACACAGCAGATACCGGGTACCATTGAGTTGTATATGGCCTGTAATAAAACCATCTTTTATTATCAGTAATGTTCTGAACAGAAGCAAAGTAGTTAAACAATCTCAAGGGTGGGAACATGTGTGTTTGGCATCTTCAAGGCAAGGCTTGAAGACAATTTATTAGAGAAGTTTGAAAGTGGTAGAGTAAAGGAAGCTAAAGAATTAGCCTTAGGAAAACTATGGTAGATAGCCATGGGAAATGATCTCAGAACTACCTCCTGCTCTGATTTTTACTGTGAATTCATTTATTTTCCAAACATGGTCAGAGGGATACAGATGTAATCCTAGATAGTGAAAGAGGATGCTAGAAAGTTTTCAGTTAGCTGCTGTTGAGGGCCCAGATAGAACAAAATTAGAGGAAATGGTAGTACAACTGTCTATACAAAATCTTTAAAATATTCAGAGAAGATGGGGATATTGTACCTTTGAAAAAATTGTCTGGCTTAACCTGGGTTGGTTGGTTGATTGTTTCAAGCAGGAGTTAGAGAAAACAGGCTGGAAAAATATGCAGATCTGCAGAGAACTACAGGAAAGAATGTGGAGTAAAGGTTGTGCTGTACCTGTGCAGTTACTTAGAATGGAATGCTGTGGAAGCTGATTGCCATGGTAACCAATAATCTTTTTCCTGAATGGGGGAACAGAACAACCATGAGGAAAATGTTTTAAATGAGCTACCTTATTTTGTGACTGTTATGGTGCCAGCTAAAACAAAAACAACCCACAAGATATTTAGGACAGTCATTCCTGTGGAAGGAAATGGCTTTACTTTCAGAGAGACAAGGCTGAGGCAGAAATTCTGGAGTATTTCAAAGAGAGATGGGGCTTTAAGATGGCAATTGCAAACTCTCTGAAGCAGAACATAATGGATAAATATTATGTTTATGGCTAAAGCAGGCAGAAGCAAGACCTAGAACCCGTGTTAAAATTTCTCCCAAGCATAAGAATCAGAAATAAATGAAGATTCTCAACACTTGAGAGTTTCAGCCAAAATATTTCATGAATTATTTATGAGGCTTTTCTTTTAATCTTGTTCTAAATTTTAATTTCTCTAAATATTAAATGGAAATGGTAAATGTTTCTGTATTATTTAGGGTTCTCTAGAGAAACAGAACCAATAGGGTATATATAGGGAGAATGATAGGCAGGTAGGTAGATGATTGACAGATACGTAGATAGATGTGAGATTTATTATGGGACGTGGCTCATGTGATTATGGAGGCCAAGAAATCAATGTCTGAAGCTGGAGAACTAGGGAAGCTGGCAGCATAATTCAGTCTCAGCCTACAAGGCCTGAGAACCAGGGAAACCAATGTTGTAACTCTCAGCTCAAGGCTGAAGGCCGGAGAACTTGCAGTTCTGATGTCCAAGAACAGGAGAAGACAGATACCCTAGCTCCAGAAGAGAGAGATAATTTGCCTTTCCTCTGACTTTTTGTTCTACCCAGGTACTCAGCAGATTGGACAGTGCCCACCTACATTGGCGAGGGTGGATTTTCTGTACTCAGTCCACAGATTCAAATGCCATTCTCTTCTAGAACCACCCTCAGACACACCCAGAAATAATGCTTTACCCACTACTTATGTATCTTTTAAGCCAGTCAAGTAGATACCCAAAATAAACCATCATATCTGTAGTCAATATTTATTCTATTATCATTATTATTATTTTGAGATAGAGTCTCGCTCTGTCGCCCAGGCTGGAGTACAGTGGCACGCTCTCGGCTCACCACAACCTCCGCCTCCCGGGTTCAAGTAGTTCTCTGTCTCAGCCTCCCTAGTAGCTGGGATTACAGGCACCCACCACCACGCCCAGCTAATTTTTGTATTTTTAGTGGAGACAGGGTTTTACCATCTTGGCCAGGCTGGTCTTGAACTGCTGACCTCAGGTGATCCACCCGCCTCGGCTCCCCAAAGTGCGGGGATTACAGGCATGAGACACTGCACCCGGCCTATTCTATTATTTTTAATAACATCATATATTTTTATTGTATATATCAGCGGTCCCCAACCTTTTTGGCACCAGAGACCGCTTTTGTGGAAGACAATTTTTCCCCTCGGTAGGATGGGGGAGATGGTTTCAGGATGAAACCATTCCACCTCAGGTCGTCAGGCGTTAGTTAGGCACTCATAGGAAGCGCACAACCTAGATCCCTTGAATGAATGAATGAATGAACTTGCATGTGCAGTTCGCAATGGGGTTCATGCTGCTATGAGAAAGAACTCTGAACCGTCATGCTCCTAAGATTCACGCTGCTGATCAGACAGGAGGTGGGAGGTGGAGCTCAGGCAGTAATGCTCACTCATCTGCCACTCACCTCCTGCTGTGCTGCCTTGTTCCTCACAGGCCATGGACCCATATCAGTCTGTGGCCCAGGGGTTAGGGACCCCTGATATAAATGATGGCAATACATGATAAAAATATAGTTTTCCTATTTTGATTAGGTCATCTTCTAAAATCTCTTACACTTAGAATAAAATCCAAACTCCATGCCTCGACCTAAGAGGTACTGCATGGTCTGGCCCCTGCTCACCTCTCTTGCCTTGGTTTCCATTTCCCCCTCCATTGCTAGTGTGTGGGATGGTACATTGTCAACTGCATGAGCAAAAACTCCAGGTAATGGTGACTTAACCTGTAAGGTCATTTTTTAATTTGCTTATTAAAAAGAAGTCTGGAGGTAGGTGGTCTTAACAGTTGATTTGGAAAGTCCAAGGTGTCATTAGAGTCTTTCCATCCTTTTATTTTGCTATCTTCATGTGTTTTCTTTTAAACCTGGATTGCTGTCCCTTTCTTTTTTAGAAGATTATTGTATTTCCAGGCATCACATTCAAAGAACACCCAAAACAGGAAGGGAGGGAAGGAGACTGAGTTATTTTCTCTTTTATGGCTGCTTTTTTTTTTTTTTTTTTTTTAAACCAGGGAGAAAAACTCTGAAGGGACCTCAAGAAAATTCCTTCTCATGTCTTGTTGGCCAGAACTAGATTACATGCTCATCCCTAAATCAGTGATTGATAGTTTGGAACTGGATTTTCAATGATTGGCTTAGACAAATGGCGGTTCATCCCTTGAGTCTGCCTATCGCGACTGAACCAAATTAAAATTCTCAGCATGGAAGAAAGGCCAGTGGCCATTGGGCAAGCAAACCACGTATTTGCCACGCAGCCTGAAGCCACTCATATTCCTGCTGATCTTCAAGTATGACAAGCTTGCTCCAAAAGCAGGGCCTTTGCACTTTTTTTGTTCCTTCTGCCTGGAACACGTATGTCCAAGACCTTCACGTAGTGTGCTCCTCCTCATCATTCAATTCTGTGCTCAAATTATATCTCTTGAAAAAGATCCTCTTTATAAACTATCTGTACATCCATAGCCATTAATCTTCCACCTAATTTGCTTTATTTTCTTCATAGCATATTCAACACTGTCTAAAATGGTATTATATATTAGTGTACTCGTAGAATAGAGCCTCATGAAGAGGAACTTTGCCTACCTTGTTTACTTTCCTGTCTGTAATAGCAAGACAATGTCTAGCACAGAGTGGGTGCTCAATAAATGATTATTGAATGAATGGATTTGCTAGGACTTTCGGTTATCCTTAGGTAGAAATTACTTAAGTCAGGGTTCTTTTTTTTTTGAGACAGAGTCTTGCTCTTTAGCCAGGCTGGAATGAAGTGGCCTTATCTCAGCTCACTGCAACTTACGCACTCAGCTCACTGCAACTTCCGTCCCTCAGGTTCAAGCCCTTCTCCTGCCTCAGTCTCCTGAGTAGCTGGGATTACAGGCGCCTGCCGCCACGCCCAGCTAACTTTTTGTATTTTTAGTAGAGATGGGGTTTCACCATGTTGGCCAGGCTGGTCTCAAACTCCTGACCTCAGATGATTCACCCACCTCGGCCTCCCAAAGTTCTAGGATTACAGGCGTGAGCCACAGCACCCAGCCTAGTCAGGGTTCTTAACAAGTTAGCTAGAGCAAACAACAGCATCTGCTCTAACTAGAACACAGGGATTTGGTAGGGTGGTATACATAGCTCATAGAATCATTGGGAGGGCTGGGGAATCCTCACGCTGAAGTCCCTGGAACAAGAACTTGTAGGAAACAGAACATTCAAATTAGGTATTTTGAGTTGTGCTTAATAACAAATACTACTTTTTTTTTTTTCCCCCCAGAGGCAGGATCTCGCTGGGGGAGTACAGTGGCATAATCACAGCTCACTGCAGCCTCAGCCTCCCAGGGTCAAGTGATCTTCCTGCCTTAGTCTCCCAAGTAGCTGGGACTACAGGCACATGCCAATACGGCAACTAATTTTTGTATTTTTTGTGGAGATGGGGTCTCACTATATGCCCAGACTGGCTCAAATTCCTGGGCCCAAGCAGTCCTTCTGCCTCGGCCTCCCAAAGTGTTAGGATTACAGGTATGAGCCGCTATGCCCAGCAAAATGCTACTCTTTGCAAAGGTGGCGCACAGTATAGGAAAACCATAAGAGAGAGGACAGTGACTGGCATAGCAGCACAGACTATCCCCTCTGTGCCTGAAAGGACGGGAAGAAGGAGCAATGCATGGAACCTGGAGGCAGAGACGGCTGTGTGGAAAGCGTTGTCTGAAGTAGCTATATCCTTTGCTTAAAGGTCACTGCCAGCTCACAGAGACCCCACAATGAGGCAGCCCAGGAAATGAATAACTCAACTTTACTCTCCTTCCCACCCCACCCGCCATCTCCTGTTGCATTCCTCCTTCTAAAGCTGACATACAGGAAGCTGGGCAGAGGAGCCCAGTGATGTAGTCCACTTCGTCCTGGGGCAAAGAGCAGGAAAAAGAAGGCTCAAAGATGGATCTGGAGAGGCAAACTAAAGATACCCAGCCCAATTCCATTTAGCTATCAGATTAGCAGTTATATTAAAGTTTGGCATGTGGGAAAACAAGCACTACCACACAGTAGGAGTGTAAATTGGTATATCCTTGAAGACATATATAAATTTTGACACAGTAGTTCCACTTTAAGGAATTTATCCTACAGATACTCTTTTTCAAGTGTTCAAATAAACGTAGATTTTTTTGTATTGCTTTAAAATGAAAAAAGGGAGAAGAGACAACCTGTATGTCTATCAATAGAGGACTAGTACAATCATATAATAAAATACTATGCAGCTATTTAAAAGAATGAGGTAGATCTATAGTTCTGATATGGAAAGATGCCTAATACAGAAAAAAATTCTGGATGGATATAATAAACTGAATTGTGGTTAACTTGAGAGAGTGCGATTGTAAATTTGAAATTTAAAGAGGAGAGGAGGATTTTAAAAAAGATTTCCGTAACACCATTTGTATTGTTTGCATTTTTTATCATGATTATATATTATTGTAATAATACAAAACCAAACCATATTATTTTGAAAATATTAAAAATACACAAATATGTTTAAAATTCAATTGCGGGAGGACAGAATGAGACGTTAATATACTCTTAATTGTCCTATCTTCCTCTCCTTTATATCTTTTTTGTTAGAAAATACTGTAAGTTGGCTGGGCACGGTGGCTTACACCTGTAGTCCCAGCACTTTGGGAGGCCAAGGCGGGCGGATCACCTGAGGTCAGGAGTTTGAGATCAGCCTGATCAACATGGAGAAACCCTGTCTCTATTGCAACATGAATAGTGGGATACCCTGTTGCTGAAAAGTCAATTCTATGAGGCTGCTAAGCAGTTTTACAGTTGTATGCTAGAAGGGAAAGGAAGTGTTGTATAAAACAGAATTTGGTCAACCTTTGTATTCATTGTGGGTCCTTAGACCATACCTGAGTTTATGCTAATGAAATTACTCAACACAGGGGTAGGCCATACCAGAAATACCAGGCCTGTGATTAGAGGATGAGGGCTTTGAGTAAGACATTATTAGCCCAGCCTCTGAGAAGGAGGAAGGGGCTAGGGATTGAGTTCAGTTACATGGCCAGTGAATCAATCCATGATCCCTATTTAAAGAACCACCAATAAAACTCCAGACGCTGAGGCTCAGGTGGACTTCCCTAGTTAGTAGTCATACATTTGTGTGCCAGGAAAGTGTCCTGAGGACACGGAAGCTTCACATTTGGGATCCTCCCAGACCTTACCCTATATATCTTTTTAGTTGTCTGTTCCTGATTTGTGTCCTTTTTTTTTCTTTTTGAGACACAGTCTAACTCTGTCACAGGACTGGAGTGCAGTGGCACAATCTCAGCTCACTGCACCTTCCCCTCCCGGGTTCAAGTGATTCTCCTGCCTCAGCCTCCCGAGAAACTGCATCTACAGGCACGTGCCACCATGCCCAGCTAATTTTTGTATTTTTAGTAGAGACGAGATTTCACCCTGTTGGCCAGGATGGCCTCCATCTCCTGACCTCATGATCCACCTGCCTCGGCCTCCCAAAGCACTGGGATTACAGGCATGAGCCATTGTGCCTGGACTTGTGTCCTTTATAATAAAACTATAATCATAAGTATAGCACTTTCCTCAGTTCTATGAATTATTCTAGCAAGTTATTTAATGGGAGGGGATGGTGGGAACCCCTGAGTTTGTAGCCAGTTGATCAGAAACGTAAGTAACCTGGAAACTCCTAATCTTGTGGCTGGTATGTGAAGTGAGGTCAGTCTTGTGGGAGACTGTGCCATTAGCCTGTGAAAGTTACCTAACTCCAAATAGTTAGCATGATAATTGCACTGCAGAAGGAAAAACCACATACCTCCTCAGAACCCAAGAGACAATGAGAAACTGTCTCATGACACCCTCCTGAAAGATAGGAAGGCAAGTGAGAAATGACCTTGAAGCAACTCCTCCCAGGCCTCCCATGGTCTCATGTTCCAGGAGGATCACAAGATATTCTGCCAAAATTTATGTCAGCTACAGTTAAGGCTTGCATGAAAAAAGGTCGGGAAATATGTTTGCCGAAGTAATGAACTGGGCACAATGGCTCATGCCTGTAATCCCGGCACTTTTAGAGGCCAAGGCAGGAGGACTGCTTGAGTCCAGGAGTTCAAGACAAACCTGGCCAACACAGAGAGACCCTGTCTCTACAATAAATAAAAAATAAATTAGTTGGATGTAGTGTTGAGCACCTATATAGTTCTAGCTACTCAGGAGGCTGAGACGGGAGGATTGCTTGAGCTCAGGAGTTCAAGACTGCGGTGAGCTATGATCATGCCACTGCGCCCCATATTGGGCAACAAAGCAGGATCACATCTCTAAAAACAAAAAAAAAAAACAAAGTGATGGCAGTTGTCACTGGGTCATGGAATCCGAAGACTTTGGCTTGCTTTTTGCTACTTTTCTTCATTATACTTTATAGAGACAATTTAGGGTGTGGTTAAGTATAGACTCTGGGGACATCCTGCCTAGGTTTGAATTTCAGCTCTGTCATTTAGTAACTTCATGTTCTTGATACTGATCCACTAACCTGCCCTTTCAATCCAAGGGCTCAGCCAGCTCCAGTCTCTCCTAGGAGTGCATTCACCTCTTTTATTAATACCTTCTTCATCTACAAGAACGTCATGTGGAACTGTCATTTTCCTTCCTGAAATGAAGATTTAATATGTCCATGATAATGCCCTAATTTATCATCTTTGTTTTTCCATTAAATTTTAAATAACCCAATGAACAACAAGAAAAAAAAAATTCTAGCTTGCCATGATTGGTTTCTTGGCAAACCAAGACTTCAAGCAAATTACTTAGCCTCTTGATGCCTAAGCTTTCTTATTTGTAAAATGGAGAATAAATAATAGTCCTTACCTCATACAGTTGTGAGGATTAAGTGAATGAAAACAAACAAAACCCTTGGAACAGTGCCTGGTACACAAAAAGCACTCATATATGTTAGCTATTTTTAAGACTTTTATGTGTTATTTGATTTGTATACAGTGACTACATGTCACTGTAAACCCAATTAAAACATACAAAAATATCAAATTTTCTGTTTATGTCTCATTTACGTTTTTCACTTCACAACTAGACAAATTAGCCACTTTTTTTTCTTTTTTTTTTTTTTTTTTTTTGAGACCGAGTTTTGCTCTTGTTGCCCAGGCTGGAGTGCGGTGGCACAATCTTGGCTCACTGCAGCCTCCGCCTCCTGGGTTCAAGCAATTCTCCTGCCTCACCCTCCTGAGTAGCTGGGATTACAGGCACGTGCCACCACACCCAGCTAATTTTTTTGTAATTTTAGTAGAGACTGGGTTTCATCATGTTGCCCAGGCTGGTCTTGACCTCCTGACCTCAGGTGATCCACCTGCATTGGTCTCCCAAAGTGCAGGGATTACAGGCGTGAGCTACCGCGCCCAGCCAATTAGCCACATTTTTGCTTATCATCCTAACATTTCATAGTCGCCGTGTAGAGAAATGGGATAAGTTTAAGCTAGAGAAAGCATTTGAAAACTGAGATGAATATCTTAGATGAATAGATACATAAAACTTTACTTAAAATTCTTTCACTACCACCTCCAAAATAAACCAAAGTTAACATTTTAGTCTTATGTGTATTTAAAGGAAGTGCATTAAAATGTTCATTATATTTTATCTCTGGTTAATGAAATTTTGTATACTTTTTCTTTATACATTTATACATATTGTAAATTCTTTCAAGTGAGCATGTATTACTTTTTGGAATCAGAAAAAAATGTTATTTTTAAAGATAAAATTATTTTTATCA